TTGCAACAACATCTAAATCCTGAAGGCTTGGGATCCCCACCTCTTATGCATTCAGACCACCTTTTAATGGATATATTCCTATGTATATCTGGCTGGTTTTAACATTGATATGGAGCATTCCACCTGCTTTTTGGAATTGTACAGCATCCTCAGGCCAGCTGCACTATCTGCTGACAAGATCAACACACAAAAATACCACATTTCTGTCTTTAATGCATGAGAACAGGTAGAAAAGGGCAGTGTTAATTCAGGCAGTCATTAATTGAAACAGGTCACGAGCAAATCAAATTATGCTCTGAGAAAAGAGGTAGATTTTTGATCCTGTGGTCATAAACCAGTCATGAACCAGTGCAATTAGTCCATGTTTGCTCTGACTCACCATATTTTCACTCTTATTGGTCTGCAGTTGTTCAGACTGCTGTTCCATAGACTTCATTTCCAGAGAGGAATCAGTAATATATCTCTCTGTGTGTGTGTGTGTGTGTGTGTGTGTGAAGAGAAGGAGAAATAACCTTTGATTTATAAAAAAGGTGGGAAAAAATCACACCCCAGCTTTATCACCAACAACAGCTGAGGGAAATTTTGGTTCTTTCATTTTATTTGCAGCAATACTTAAAAATAGGTCTGCAAATTCAGGCTGGAAACTCTTCTATCCTTTTCCAAAGAGAAAAAAAAAGAAAAAAAAAGAAAAAAAAAGAAAAAAAAAGAAAAAAAAAAAGAAAAAAAAAGAAAAAAAAAAGAAAAAAAAAAAGAAAAGTACCTCACAAAATGGACAAATCAATTCCAATTGCTTCTTGTCCAGAGAAACAGCACTAAACCTCAAGGTGTCTTAGGTAAAGATTCCAACTCGGGAAATGAAAAGCTGAACAAGAAAATGCTGAGGTCAGGCAGGCTCAACCTTTCCTTATCCCTTTTCTTATCCCTTCTCTTTCATGCTGTTGGGAAGCACATGGAGGGGATGAAATGTGTTGCTGCTGAGCTGTATCATTAGGAGCAGTCTGTTATTTACAATTTCAGCCTGGGAGCCTCAGAAAGTCCTTTATCCCTTGATCTGCAGACTCAAATAATAACACACAAATAACTGTGTGTGACTCCTCAGCCTCCCCCCACCGAGGAGCAGTTTGTGCTGCAGCTGCCCCGGAGTGATGGAGTTCAGCTCTGTTGAACTCGGAGAAGGTTTCGAGATAAGAGAGTTATTTTTGTCAAGGCTTACATGAAAAAATGTCTTTGCTGCCTCGTAATTGCCAAATATTGCCTTTTTTTCTAGAGTTGCATAAGCAAGGGCTACGGAACCCTGGGAATACTGGGGGAATCCAATCTCAAGGGTATGTTGTCCTTATGGAGTAGGTGGCTTTTGTTGCACGTTTCCTGTTACTATTAAAAACTCACAATTCAAATGCCTCACATGAACATGGTGCAGCCCCAGTCTCTTGGCCATACAAACAGGGCTCTTTGCATCCTGCTTTCACTTGGATCAGAACCCCTAAAAAGCACTGATCCTGCTCTCTCTTTAGAGGTCTGAGAGAAATGCAGTAGCTTTTGGAAGCTTTTCCAGTTGAAATGCTAAGAAGAAGGAAAAAAACCAACAAAAGAGATGTACTTGCTTTTGGAAGCTTTGGGGTTCTCTCAAGAGGAGGCTCCTCACAGCCTGAAAACAGGCTCTTCAGAGGGAACAGTTTTTCTAAAACAAAAGAACTTCCAGAACTCACTCTGCCAGTGAGTAGCTGGAGGCAAAAGGGACTTGATTCACTCTAAAGATGAATTGGAATTCTGCTGGAAAGGAAAAGTAAAAAGGGAAAGTGCTGCTGCTACAAAGAAGAGATGGAGCTCTAACTTCTGGAAGTGCAATACAAAAAGAAGTGGTTACATTTTTCATAAGTCTCTTTGTGCATGTTTCTTTGTCAAAGTTTAACCAGGTCATTTATGCAGAGGAGAATAGTGATCTGAACCAGCTCTGAGATCTCCAACAAAGTGTTAATCAGCTGTTTAGAGGTTTCCCCTTGGCTTGGCTCTCAGAACATGAGGAGAAACACCATATCAAAATGCATTCTTAGTGCAGATGGGAAATTTAGTTTATTCCCAGTCCCTCAACAGGAATTGAGATCTTAGACCTTCTTAAAAATATGGAATGGGCTAATTGGGAGCTTGTGACCAACTGCTGTGGGTTCTTCTGAGCTCCAGCTCTCTGAGGTAACTTGCTCCATGAGATTTCCTGAAGAAGAGCAATCCCACACAAAGATGAACTGCTGTGCTCAGGCTCCTCCTGGGTTCTGTGAGGCTTGTGCTTCTTCCTCAGCCTTGGACAGGACTCCTGAGATCCCACAGGGTGAGAAATGCAGTGCCTGGGTGTCACTGAGGCTCCTTGAAATTGTCCTTCATCCGAGTCAGACAAAAGCTATGGAAATGTCTGTTTACAAAAATCCAAGGCAGCAGTGGTTTATAAGGCCCCAAATATCAGGAGAGAAGGAAATGGTATCAATCTATGCCTGTAGCCAGGACCAAAGCCCAGCAAAATCTGTAGGATCTGTGGTGGATTCCTCCCTCCATGTGTGGGGCCCTCACTGTTCGTGACACTTCAGGGATCAACCACAAAGGGAGGCCTTGGACTGAAGAACTGTGTGTTTGCTTTTTAAACCTCTCCCCCACTCTTTTGGAAGGAGTGGATTCAGTTTTCTTCAGCAGAATTTTGATCCTCAACCTGCTCTGGACACTTTCTTTTCCCTGTATTGACAACTGAGTGCATTTCTACCCTCGGCAGTGCTGCCTGAGAGGAGAAGGTGCAGTTTAAATTGTGTGATAAACCTGTTCCATTTCCCCCCTGGAAAAGCTAATCCTGATCTCTGTTTAAAGCCTTTTGTTGTAGTGAGCTTTGTACTGCATAGCCCCATGTAATCAAGAAGTATCCCCTGTATCTTGAATTAATTCATGTTCAGTTCTTTACTGAAGCACACAAGTGGCACTAATCAAATACTTTGGGGTGAGTGATCCTGAAACCTGTCTTTGAGGAATGCTGTGACAGGGTCCTATGAACTGTGAACTTTGCTTTGCCTGTCAGTGAACCAGCATTTAAAAGTCCCTTGCTGCATTTACTTGCTGAATTACTACAGGAAAACAATGCATTATTAATGTTTGGGTCTATCTTTCACCTGAAGAAGATATTTTCCAAAAAGCAGTGTAAAGAAAAGGCCTCATAATTGTATTTGTATTGCTCAGATCTGTTGAGGAACATAGTTATTCCATTACTTTAATGTGTGGCCTGGCAAGACTTTTTCACATTGCAAAAAAATTCACTTTTCAGATACGTTTTTTCAAAAACTGGTTGTCAAAAAGTCATGGTTGTGCCATGTCTGTGTTTGATGCTCACTACAAGGTGACATTTAAAATAGATCTCCAGGAATTTCTGATGTAGAATGAAATAAATTCAGTCCTAGGGAACAAAAAGGGCTTTCAAAAAGCTGTAGCTACAACTGTGAGCAGGTTTCAGCACATTCCTTTTTGGCTTTATTGTCTTGTTAGTTTTTTTCCCCTTTAAACTCCCAGAATTTCTGGCCCTGCATGTGCCATACCTGCTGCAAGGGCCAGCGTGGAGAATTTACCTGATGGAAACACTCTGCAAAGCAAAGGCAGAGCTCAGGATATCAGGAGGCCTTTGCCTTGGTGTTCACTCCCATTTCAGAGGACACCTGACAAAAAGGGATGTATTTCCATCATATTCACCCTGGAAAGAGAAGCAGACAAAGCCCATGTTCTTGCTGCAACCTCAGATGGAACCTGACAAGGGATGTTTTTCTCCCCCTTTTTTTTTTCTTTTTCCTTCCTTTTCCTCCTCTCCCCTCCCTCCTCCTCCTTTTCCTTCTCCTTCCCTTTCCTCTTCCCCCCTTTTTTTTTATCTTTAATTTTCCTTTTTATTTTGCAGCAGAAAGGTGCTGCTGATATTATTCATCAGCCAGGTTCCACTTCAGAGCATTTGCAGCACCTTGTGAACTCAAGGTCAGCAAAACTGTAACTCAGACTCTCTGCTCTTCCTCTTCCTCTGTTTCAGTGCAAAATGAGGAAGAATTCTGCACATGCACAGCTTTCCTCCTCAAATGACCCCAGCAAACGTGCTGCTCGGTGAAACGCTGCCTCTCAGCTCCTGCACAATCCAACTGGCAAAGAAAGCAGGCCCTTGTTATGCAAAATCCTTGTTTGTAAACACTGTTCTGCCTTTAAATTGATTTGAATGCTTTGCCTTGGAGAGCTCCTGCTCCGCTTTTCCCAACAGAACCCACCCCAAGTGCCATCTGGTGGCAGCAGCACATTGAGGCTGCACAAAACGGGGCAGGGAATTATTAAGGGGTAAATTTCCAGCAGAATGCGAAGGGATTTAACCGGGCAGTTCCCTTAACATGTGTTATAACACATGGATCACCCGAGGTTGGAAAAATTCCCGCAAAGACAGGGTAATTTGGAGGGAAAATATAACTTGTTCCATGACTGATTGTCAGACCAAGATAAACGTCAGCACAGATATTAGAATGGAATAATTTTCAATTTCCTATTAAAAATCAAACTTGTTTCCCTTCCTGTCCCTGTCCCTAAGCTGTTCCCATTCAGGAATTTTTGCTCAATGCTTTTTTGTAAGCAGAAACATTTTTTTCTTATTAAAGGGAAAACACCCAGCACTGCTCAGTGCTGTTTATGGGTTCTTTTGGTAATCATGACTTACTACAGATACCCCAAACCTTCAGGTTTTGGAGCCCAGACTTGGATAGGTTTCATACTTGAACTATTATTACTATGACATTTATGAAAAGGTGAAAAATCCTTTGGGAGAACTATTTGAGATTCAGCCTCTCATGGTAAATTTAGGACTTTTTTTTCCTGGGAAGGCTTTCCTGGGATATCTTGGCCTCTGTCTCTGCATATCTGGAATTACAGTTTCCCCCAGGGCTGTGTATTTTGGGCAGTGTCACCCAGCTGGATCCCAGCCCCAGGTTCCCTGTTCTCTCCTTGCACAGGGATGTGTTCAGGCTGGAGCAGCCAGTGCTGTGTGGCAGCGTTTCATCTGTTATGAAATCCTTCCGGGAGGAGAGAACGGAATAATCAGGTGGATTTGCTTTCTCTCCTTGTCTCTGGATGTTAGTTCTTGAGGCAGAGCTGCTGACTAAGGAGCAGTGTGTGGTGCTGGGTTCCAGTTCTCCAAAGGAGCTGTGTGAGTGCCTATGAAAAGCTCAGTTTTTCCGCAAACACCCCTACAAATCATCCCTGCAAAGCACGTACCTGCAGGTCACTAACTGATGTCCCATTAAAAATATAACCTCATCTTGAATTGAAAAAGTCCTATTTTAGCTGGAAACACTTCACTCAAGAGCCACCATTAAGCAAATTTCCTCAAGCAGGTTTTTTTCAGGCAGGGTGGCTGCTGGTGGTCACACCAGGCTGTGTCACCTCCCCTGTGTGTGTCCCCACACTGGTGAAAGCCAAGGGCCTGTTCCTCTCAGGCCATCTGTGTTTGTGGTGCTGACTCAACACGTGCAACTTCAGTCATCCTTCCCCACCCATCTGTCCCTGCTGTTCACCCCCAGCCTGAGCAGGGAGGTGGGACAGGTGACCCCATGGTGGTCCCTCCCAGCCATGTCCATTCTGTTGCTGACTGCTCAGGACAACGTGCAGCTTGGACCCCTCTCTCCCAGCTCTGTGGCTGACCCCATCCCTAGGTGTTATCACCTCCTGACCTTCCACACCATGACACAAAGCTCTCTGCAAAAGTGACTCGGGATGTCAAAGGATGTTGAAGGACATAGGAGTGACCTCCAGCATTTGGTGGCAAACCGAGGGTGCAACCTATCTCTTAGTCTCACACTTTTAATGATTCAAACAAACCAAAACAGGATGATGATGGATAAAAAAATATATCTATGTGAAGTGTCATCCTAAGTAAAGCTTCTTTCTGTTGCTGAAACAACAGCAGGGGATGAAGTCATCCCTCGAGGCCTCAACGAGGGCCTGTTGTGCTGTTCTGTGAATCACCCCCAGAGCAGCTCCTCACAGAACCTGTAATTTCCACGGGCACAATGTCCAATTTCAATGCAGGGATAAGTGAGAGGGAGGAGAGCACTCTGAGGTGAATCACTCACACGTGTACTTGTCAAGTGAGAAGAACATGAGTCAACCCCCCGGCAGTGCTGGGGCTGAGGAGGGTCTTCTTGTGGGATCCCTGGGGCAGGAAATGTCCTTGAGCCTTCTCAGCTCAACTCCCCATCACTGGGCACTGCTGACCTGGCCAAAGGGGGCCAATGTGGGAGGGCAGCCAGGCTGGCACAGTCTGCTCCAAGGCCACCATCGACCTGCTGAACACACCGGCTGGGGCAGGGAGGGAGAGGGCAGGGGACATGTGGCACTGGAGCACATCCCACTCCAGGGGCTGCACCTACAGAGCTGTGACAGCCTTGGTGCCTGGGTACACTTCACCCACTCAGATCCTCATCTCAGAATCACAGAATCCTTTAGGTTGGAACAGCCCTCCCAGCCCATGGATCCCCCCTGTCCCCATCCCCACCTTGTCCCCCAGCCCAGAGCACTGAGTGCCAAGCCCAGGCCTTCCTGGGACACCTCCAGGGATGGGCACTCCAATCCTCCCTGGGCAGCCCCTTCCAGTGCCTGACCACCCTTTCCAGGAAGAAATTCTTCTTGATGTCCAACCCAAACCTCCCCTGGCCCTGGCACAACTTGAGGTTCTCAAATCCAACCTTTGACCAAACAGCACCATGTCCACCTAAACCCTACCGTGAAGTGCCACATCTAATCATTTTCTGAGCACTTACAGGGACAGGGACTTCACCACTTCCCTGGGCTTCCCGTTCCAATGCTTATTCACTCTTTCAGTGAAGAGCTTTTCCTAATATCCAACCCAATGCCGTCATTTCTAGACCCATGAGCTTTCCCATGTGGGGTGGAGGCTGAGGAGAAAGGCCTGGGAGCAGGTTTGGGTATAGTAAAACTGGCTGTGTGCAGCCACAGTGCTGAAACTGGGACCTGGGAGCCAGCAGAGGCACAGGAGCCTTGCCAGGTTGGCCACTGAATAAAATGATTCCAAAGAGAAGGGGTGAGGATTTGGAAGAGAAGCATTAAAAAGGTCGAAAAGCACTGACACACATCCTACTGTGGTAGGATGAGGAAGCATCCACAATGACTCCCATCACTATCTGTATCTCTGTGATATGGGCCTGAGTAGAAAAGTCTGTGAGAGGAAAATAATATCATGGAACAGGAAGCTGACAGAGCTTTTCATGGCATAGCTGCAAAAATGTCAGAGAAACAAACATGTTTTCCATGGAGGATATCAATAAAATAAAACTACAACAGGAGCATTTAGGAAAATACTTTACAAAATGAACCCAAGTTTGGATTAGGAAGTTAAATTAAGAATAAAAAAAAAATACAAAACCACTGCAAGGAACAATTAATTCTTCTAGTTCTCTCATTTCTCCAACATTTTGGTTTCCTACTTTAGTAATAACCCCAGACTCACAGACTCATAGAATACCCTGGGTTGGAAGGGGCCCACAAGGATCACCGAGTCCAACCACATCATGGCTTTGGTCCCTCCCAGTCATGAGTAAAGCCATAGTTTATGTGCAATCTTGTGCTGATTTTCCAGGCATTACAGCTGAAAAAGTAAAATGCTGCAGGGAACAGGAAATACAGTATTTGCACTGGACTGATGAAAACTCCTACAGACAATGAGCACCAGCAATAATATTGAGGGTTTGAGTGGCAAGGGGTGAAATCCCCACGCCAGAAAAAAGAATAAGATATAAGGATTAGGCCAACACAAGGAAATTCCAGCATAGTCCATTGTGGTTTTCTCCAGAAACTTGAAAATTTTTCAAGATTTCCCTAGGTAAGATTAGATCTGAAATCCTATGAGATCACTGAGACATGAACCTCTCCCTCTGGAGGGAGAATTCCCTGGCTGCAACACCTTCATTTCCCATTCCTGATGCCTGAGAGCAGGGAAGGAAGGAGCCCCTCCTTCTGGCACCTGGATAAAGAGCCCACATGTGCCAGTTTTTCCAGCTCTCCTCCACTATTAGGAGGACAGCACATCAGTTACTCTGAAGTGGTTCCCTGGGAGCACTTGGAGCTCCGAGCAGAGCTGTTGATGCTGAGTTTAACAGCCCCAGCTGTTGGGACCTCAGAGCAGCGTTAACACTGATTAAAGGCTCAGATCTGAGCGACTTCCCCTTCTGCTGCCTCTGCTTTCTTCAGGATCTGACAATCTCCAACCCTCCCAGAGCAGCCCTGACCTTCCCTGGGAGCAAACTGCTTGTTTTTAACACGACGTTGTGCTCGTGTCACGTCAGCCCCCGGAGCTGCTGATCCCAAAAAGGGTCAGTGATCTGGCCAGGCAGGAGCTGTTTCCAGACATGTATACATTTCTACCAGTGTTAATACATAAACTATCAGGCTTTATAAGCTGCCTTTCAACTGAGAGACCAAAGTGTAATTCCTCAGTTCTGCTATAAATAGTTTAAAAGCTGCCCTGACCTCCACCCCAACATGTGCTGTGTGGATGAACTGCTGTGTCCAGAGCAACTGCAAGGGCTGTGTAAATCAGCTCTTAACTCTGACACCTTTTTAAAGGCATGAAACCTTGGCTTTCTGCAGAATAATTGCTCTACCTGCTGTAAGTAGTAAATGTTTTAGGGTGGGAATATGTAATATTTATGTGTATTATTAGGGGAAAATGCAAGATCCTGAAAGTCACTGAATTTTCTATGTATGAAATGTATGAATAATTTGATCCAACTCACCACTGGCATATACAATCACAGCAAAAGAATTTGTTGTATTGTGCAGCTGGACACAGTAAGGTAACAAATATTTTCACCTAAGCAGCCTTTCTTAGAATTACAACAAAGCAGTAAATCTTGAACAATCCATGTTTTTCCAGTTGATGTTTTCAGGGGCTGCACTGGGACAGGAAATGCTAATGTTATGAATCGAGAGGCACTAACATCACTCATGTAATGTGCTTTTTAAAACCCAATTCAACAGAATGGAAATCTCCTAGAAAGGTAGATATTAATTTAAAAAAAAACTCTGATCATCCATTTAAATTAAATGCACACCAGTTCATTCCTCCATGCATAATGCAAACTTCTATTTAGAAGACAGATGCCATAATTTACACAGCACGGAGATACTCAGCTAATGTAACACCTCTGTTTCAGGCAGCAGTAAAACTGTCTTAATTAAGGAAATGCCAACAGATTAAAATGTTCTCATGGTTCATAAAATATTTTAGAGGGTGGCTTGGCAGCATTAGTACAAATGTTGTGAAGCGTGGTGCATTTGAAGCTTATGCTCTGCATTTAAATTATTAAAAAAAAGATGCTGTGAACCATGGAAAAAGATGGGAATGTCACATTCATCTCCTGATATATGTAGTTATAGAGTAGGCTCCTATATGGCCATATTTCAGGGTCATCATTGATGTTCCTACTGTGCTTTTCCATCCACAGGTGAGGTGCAAGTTCCAGCCTCTGAAGGAACACCAGAAAGGATTTATCTGCAGGCAAGGATGGAACTGGAAGATCAAAGGAGGTGAGAGAGGGCTGGGTGAAAGAAGGAAACCCAGCTCCTTTTGTTCACCAGTGAAAACAGTGCAATGGGAATTCCTGGAGCAACCAGGGGAAGGTGTCCCTGCCCACAGCAGATGAGCTTTAAGGCCCCTTCCAACCTAAACCATTCTGGGATTCTGATTATTAAAGGCTTACAGAAGAGGAACACACAGCACCTGACCTGACTGTAAATAACATACATTCATATGGGCCAAACTAATTTCATTTACAGCCACAGCTGGTAGCAAAAAATCTCCATAACTGGGGGCTGTTCCAATCAGCACTGAAGGTTTGAGTGAGCAAATCAATTAATTATACATTGATTTTCCCAGGCACGTTTGCTCCAACAATCACAACTGTGAATTTGGCCCCTGAGTCCTGAAGCAGCTGTTGAATATTTACATCCTGCTCCTGAATACAAACTCCCTGGTTCCTTTTTGGCCCGAGGCAGGGACAGGGAAGGGAACAGCCGTTTGCCAAAGGCCACACAATCACGTTGTACCTGCAGAGAACATTGGGTTCCAGCCTGGCCCAAGGGAGAGGAGATGCTTTGTCTGCTTGCAATTAGACAAGGATCATAATAGATGCATGTATTCATTTAGTAGAACAAAATAAAGAGAAGGGAAAGATGTGTCTCTTCATAAATTAATACCAGGTTTTGCTGAGTAAAGCAGAAAATAATGGAGATAAGTTTTCCTTCTTCTTCCTGATTTTTAAAGGAAAAACTTCCCCATGAACTCATACCCAGAGAGAATTCTGTGTTCTGTGAATATAGTTCTGTAAGAACAGTCCCCCTTTGCACTGAATATGTCAAGTCTCATTGATTTTAACAGTTACTGAGGAAATACAGCTCCTTGCCAGGCACAGAATGATTCCTGTACCAATCTGGAGAAAGCTTGGGATTGGCATGTGAGTGCAGAGCTGCCTCAATGAGCACCTGAGAAGTTGCTGGAGCTAAGGGAAGTGAATAAAAATATAAATTAATGGGAAGTGGTGATTGAATAGGGATAAAATAGAGAATGGAAAACTGATGTGATGTTTTAAAATCAGATTTCCTAGTTAGGGTTCAAATATCTGTTACACGGAGCTTTAATAAAGTTTATGCCCTCGCAGTGCTGTATAAATCTGGAGCAGAAGACAGATTTAATCCCATTAAATATGTGTCAGGGATTTAATGCAGTAGATAATAAAACACGCACTATTAGACCTGGCCTTACAATGATTCATTTGTATCAAATCCAGTGCCTGTGGCTGCAAAAGGAGTTTTGCCTGAGGCTCAGGGACTGGACTTCACATTTCTGTTATTGATCCCAGGCAGGTGCTGGAGCTGCTGTTTGTTCTCAGCTCTTTTATCCATGCACTGTACAGCCAGTTTTGTTCCCTTTCTCCAGAGATGGCCACTGAAAATGTAACAGGAATATTTCTACAACCTTCCTTTTAACAGAAATGAGGCAATTTGACCTACTGATTCTGTATGTTTTTTCCTATTCAAGGGCAGAATATCCTCAGAGTTAAAAAGCTGCTGCCAGACCCAACTTGCTCTGCTAAGATAGAGACATCCCCTGGTTCTGCAGCCCCTGTCAGTCCAAATGCCCACACTGGGAGTTGAGGGAATGCCAGCCTTCCAGGTTGCTTGTGCACTTTATTTTCTTGTGTCACCCCAACTTTTATCCTTGGCTGAACACAAGTAACCGAAATAAAAAAAGTTTTGAGCTCTGCAAACGTGGAAAACTTTTGTTACACCCAAACCCGTGGGAAGATACTGCTGAATTTCTGCTCATTAGAAAGCCATTTATATACATTCATTTCTGCTCTTTGGTTGGTTGGTTGATGTTTGAGGACTTTTTTGTGCAGTCTGTAGCAACCACCACCACAGAGCAGATGGAAACTGGCTTTTAAGAATACCCTAGTGCTCTGTCCTCAAAAGTTTAAAGCTTCTGGGTCATCATAATCATCCCTGTGGCAGCTGAAATGCTGAAAATTCAGATACTTGGTTGTTTGGGTGTTTTTAAATATAGTAGTGTTCTCTTAACTGATTGAAACCAAATTAATTAATTCTTCAGCTTTTATTATTCTCTTGTTTAAAACTTTTATGCTGTCAAACACTTGGTGATTGCTGATCCTCAAGAGCACCAATGAATGTACATTCCATGGCTGCAGTTTGGGGCTTCACTGCCATTTATTTGATGACCACATGTAAAATGAGTATTTCCAACACAGGGCAACTCATAAAACTTTTTTGATTTTACTTGTGCATAGTAAAAGTTGGGTTGGAGAACTTTTAATGCTGTGTTTTGCAGTCACTCATCAGGTGATGTTTTCTGTATAACAATGGGAGGAAGTGAAATAAAAGATGTGTTATCATAAACTCAAAGTGTTTGGGAAATTCATGCCAGGTTTCATATGAAGATAAATCATATCCAGACTGTTCAAGCCTACATTATCAGCATCCCATGAAACAGTGAAACTACTCCTGCCTGTTAAAAGTAAACTCACATTTTTATGTCCTTTCTCTACAGTTTTAGGGCTGCATTTCCAGGATTTCCAATTGTAATATGAACACGCAAAGTAAAAAACTGACACAGAAAAGCTAATTCCCTCCTCAGCAAGACAAGAAACACATGGTATGAGACAGGGAAGCCCACTTTTCCTGTTTTTTCAAGAAGAAGATGGAATTTTGCTTTCTTCCCTGTCTCTGGCACCACGTTTGAACTGCAGTATCTGGAGAGGAAGGATGTGCTGAGTCTCAGGGTGCCTGGGGTCAAGTCCCCGTGGCTTCCTGAGTGATGAGTCAATGAATAAAACTGTTATTTCCCTTCTGGAAGGGGGCACTGGGAGCCATGGAAGTTACCAGGATCATCAGGTGGGGTCAGGTCTCCACGATGTCTCCATGGAATGCCAGGCTGTGTCCTGCTCGAGGATGAGGTTCCTGGAGAGCTGTCCCTGGGGGCTCCACACAGGAGCTTTTATTACAACTTTTATTACAAGGTGTGATTAGAACACCCCAGGTCTGTGGCACTGCACTTGCTGTCCTGGTCTCTGGTTGCCAGGCTGAGATTTTCCCAGAGGTTCCTTAAATTTTTGTACTTCAGCAATTTCTCCTGGAATTTCCTGTTGAGCTGATGGCAAAAGTCCCCCCTATCCTGGCTCCAAATCCATTACTTTTCTTCTTATCCTAAACATTTCCCTTCTTCTTCCCTTCAGCAAGATGAAGCTTAGACTTTAATATTTTTCATGGTGAAAGGGGGCATTCCCAAGGAATTATATGGAATTTGGGTCATTTTTAAAGCCGAAAGATTCAGCTTGAGTTTACACTCTGAGCTGAATCAGGATCTTGCACATGGCCCGAAGTGCAGCATATTCATGTCTAAATGTAACCTTCTGCTCCAGTGAAAACCGTGGATATTTCATTGCACAGTGAAAGTTTATCTAAATTCTCACAGTCAGAGACAGATGCTCACTGGAGAACTGGAGATACTGAGTGACACCTTTCTGAAGCAATATGTAACTAATAACCAAACAGAGAGCAGGGGGGCTGCCATGGAAATGGGGCTATGGCACAGCATTTTCACAGAATCAGAGAATCAGCCAGGTTGGAAAAGACCTCTGAGATCATCCAGTCCAACCCTTGATCCAACCTCACCGTGGTTCCCAGCCCATGGCACTGATGCCACATCCACTCTCACCTTCAACACCTCCAGGGACACTGACTCCACCCCCTCCCTGCCCAGCCCATTCCAATGGCTGAATACTCTCTCAGGAAAAAATTGCTTCCCAATATCCAACCTAAACCTCCCCTGGCACAGCTGAAGACCCTGAGCCCTCTTGTCTTACTGCTGCTTCCTGGGAGAAGAGCCCGACCCCCACCTGGCTACAACCTCCTGTCAGGGAGTTGCAGAGAGTGAGGAGGTCTCCCCTGAGCCTCCTCTTCTCCAGGCTGAACACCCCCAGCTCCCTCAGCCTCTCCTCACAGCACTTGTGCTCCACTCCCTTCCCCAGCCTCGTTGCTCTCCTCTGGACCTGCTCCAGCCCCTCCATGTCCTTCCTCAACTCAGGGGCCCAGAACTGGACACAGCACTCCAGGGGTGGCCTCACCAGCGCTCAGTCCAGCCCAACAATCCCTGCCCTGCTCCTGCTGCCAAACTGTTCCTGCTCCAGGCCAGGATCCATTGGCCTTCTTGGCCACCTGGGCACACTCTGGCTCCTGTTCAGCTTCCTGTCCATCCACACTCCCAGTTCCCTTCCTGCCTGGCTGCTCTCCAGCCCCTCTGTCCCAACCTGGAGCTGCAGGGGGTTGTTGTGGCCAAAGTGGAGGACCCGGCCCTTGGCCTTGTTGAACCTCATCCCATTGGAATCAGCCCATGGATCCAGCCTGTCCAGGTCCCTCTGCAGAGCCCTCCTGCCCTCCAACTGATCAACACACCCCCCCAGCTTGGTGTCATCTGCACATTTGCTGATGGTGGACTCGATCCCCTCATCTAAATCATCAATAAAGATATTAAACAGGACTGGGCCCAGCACTAATCTCTGGGGACACCTCTGGTGACTGGATCCCAGCTGGATGCAGCTCCATTCCCCACCACTCTCTGGCCCTCCAGCCAGTTCCTAACCCAGCACAGAGTGCCCCTGGCCAAGCCTTTTCCAGGAGAATGCTGTGGGAGACGGTGTCCAAGGCTTTGCTGAAGTCCAGACAGACACATCCACCCCTTTCCCTCATCCACCAGGTGGGACCTGGTCATAAAAGGAGATCAGGTTGGTCAGGCAGGACCTGCCCTTCCTAAACTACCACTTCACTACATAGCTTCTCATGGACAGAGACAGGCTGGAATAAGAGGAATTTTCAATGGATGCAATCAGTGTTTATAATAATCAACTTAAAAGAAAGGGATTTGGGATTAGTGCCAGTGTCTCCTGGTCCCCAAAGGGGATTCAGCCCCTGTGGGAAAACAGGCAAATGAGGGGTGTGATCTGTAATTCCCAGGTTGCATTTCAGAACTGAAATGGCCAGGTGTAGCTTTTTCAATCAAAAATTAATGGGTTTAGTGACTTTAATAAAAATTAATTCCTATGAAGAAACTTTTCCCTCTCTCAAGAAGCTGTATGGGATAAACAAGCCATTCCTATTGAAATATCTATTTCCCAAGCTCTGAAATGTCTAAATACTGAAAAAGATGATGAAGAAACATAATTAATACTTCCAGAGGTTATAAAAGGCATAGAAGTAATTTGAATTTCAATCTCACAGTTGAGCAAATGCACTCAAAAAGCCTGGATAGCTGCAAAGGGAAAACTCTTGGATAAAAGGTGACAAGTTCATGGTAAGTATCATTGAACCCAAATGTGTCACAAATTGGCATGACAAAATAATCCATGAAAACTCAAGTGAAAGAGAAATAGATTTTTGTAGATAGCTTAGTACAAGATGTCATAACAGCTCCTTTCTTTTAAAAAGATCTTGAAACTCTGAAAATTCAAGTAAATTTGGAATAGCTGATATGAAACCACTGCTTGTTTACGTGCCTGAAGTGGAATATTAGGAGCAGCTAATATTTTACACCTAGAGCAGCCTCACTCCTCCCAGCAGAGCCCAGGGTAGGGGCAGAACTGTTGGGTCACACTCACATTCTTGGTTAGAATTATAACTCACCCTTGCTGCTAAAAAACAGGGAAACAGTTTAAGCCTAGAGATAAAAATAGGATTTTGTCTACCAAGAAAGACATTATTCAGGAAGAATCAGAGGAAAGACAAAACCATGTATATGATCATAAAAAGGCCTGAAAGCTCCAATTATACCAGATGCATATAAATTAATGCTATTAGTTAGATAAGACATTTTTTAAGAAGGGAGATAACACTATTAGTGCAATTACTGACTGCCTGGTCTGGCACTGGTAAAGAATTAAATCCATTACACTTCTGGATAAAGCCAAAGTAATTAGGAATTGCAAGTTCTTTCCAACTTAAAGAACTGTCTAGTGACTCTCTCTAAGGGGGTCCAATGCAGCAACTCCATTCTGATATCAGTGCTGATTTAAACCCCAATAATCAGTCAACTCTTGTCCTGGTTGCAAGCCCCGGGCAGGAAATTCCCTGTGGTACCTTTGCCAGTGCTGGACTTGAGGTTTAAGATGATTTTTCCTGCAATTTTAACTGACCCTAGTGACCAAAGCACCAGAAAGTGGTGCTGCTGCAGCTCTTCATCCCAGCAGACACAGCATTTTCCTTCGTGCCACAGGCTCCTTCTTCTGCAACCAGGAATTAGAGGCAGCTCTGCTGCTTTATTCCCACTGCCTTGACACCTGAGTCCTCTCTTTGCTGATTGATGAGAAATCTCCTATGGTCATGAAATAAAGGGGTTTGTCCACACAGTGCACTATGAACAGAGCTGTTTCCCTGCATTTAGCCATTCCCACCCCCTGAGCTCAGTATACTCTTGAGGAAAGGAATTCTTAATGAAAATGTATTTTGCTCTTCCATTTTATAAGCTTCCTTCCCACAAACACTTTATCTGCTGTCCATTACTCCTCAAAGAGAGCACAGCTCTGATGGCCTGAAGTGATGTATTGACAAACACTGGAAGTATTTCTCCAAACCTCGGCATCAATACCCTCAAGCTGTTTGCAGCTGGTCCGTTCTGGTTCAAGCTCTCCAGTGCCTTGCATTAGAATAAGCCTGGAATTAATCACTTTTATTGTTGCTGGTTTCAGTTGCTTTCAATCTTGGTGAATTAGGTGGGTTCTAGATGTCTCTCAGGTATCAGGTCACATGCAGTGGGGCCACAGTGGCTGTGTTTCCTTCTCTTCCTAACCTGGCACTGATGAAGTGCCCTGTTAGTGGTGACTTACAGCCTGTGCCACGCTGGGCTGGTTCCCCGTTGCTCCACGTGTTATTTGTTAGCAAAGAAAACTGCACATTTGTCCAGGTGACAAAGCTGGTAGAACAAATCTGTCTTCTCTGTTCTGTGCCTTGCTGTGCCTCAGAAGCAGCAATGTTTTGTGGGAAGGCACAGAGCAGTACAAGGAAGGGGAAGGGATGCAGAGCCCGGGTTTGGAAATGATTGATGCTGGTGGAGCTTCCTTACACATGGTCAGTGCTGCCCCAGCCTGTACCTGCAACAGCACCTGTCACACCTGTCCCCCCAGCACATCTTCCTCTTCTGGAAGCCTTGAAATAACCTTTCAAAGGTGTGTTTGCAATTAGGAGCAATGTTTCATAGTCTTCCTAACCTTCCTGCCTTGGAGGAGTGATGCTGCCCTGCATCACCTGTGTGCTGAGCACAAGCCCACAGGTCTTATCCCGGGATATTGGCAGAGATACAACATCTGGGCAGTGGCTGCATCTTTATT